ACCCTAAAACCCTAAAACCCTAAATGAACCTCCAAACCTTAATCTCAAGGCTCCTCCTTGACCAGGTTGGACTTGACCTAAGTTCTCACCGCAGACATTGGGGTTCAGGGGTGTAGGGTTTAGGGTTTTAGGGCTTAGGGTTTTAGGGCTTAGGGTTTAGGGTTTTAGGGTTTTGGGGTTTAGGGTTTTAGGGTTTAGGGTGTACGGTTGAGTTTTTCAGGGTTTAGGGCTGGTGGTGTAGAGTCGAGCATGTATGGGCAATCGAGGACAGGAATCCGACTCTAGCCGGGTCCCTCAGCCCTAATTTTTGGGGCAGAGCTCCTAAAGCACTCAGAAATCTCGCCGAATGAACTTCAGCGTGTTCTAAACATTGCGCAGCAGCTAGGACTAGCAGCCCGGATAACCTGGGAATACAAAGCCTAGAGAGCTTTCTCTTCCTCCTGCTTCAGCCAGAAAGATCCTGCGAAACACCTGCAAGATCCATTGAGACAGACGGGCACATGGAGAAATTGCATGCCCCTGCACCTCCATGATCACGTAGTTCCGTGGGACCAGTGGCGTCATCGCCTGCTTTCAGCACACCCCCCAACCAAAGATGAACCCTAAACCCTAAACCCTAAACCCTAAACCCTGAACCCTAAACCTAACCAAAGATGTCGGATATGTTGGGTCAGTGTGCAACAGAGATGCATAGTCGGCAAGAGCTCCCAAGCTGCATAGAACCATAGAAAGCCAAAGAGACGGTTAGGGTTTAGGGTTTAGGGTTTAGGGTGTAGGGTTTAGGGTTTAGGGTTCAGGGTTTAGGGTTTAGGGCAGCTGTATAGAACCATAGAAACCCGAAGAGCCCTTGTATGCGAAACCGCGAGCTAACGCCGAAGCTCCCTGACAAAACTTCTGCAAGGCTCCCTAACATCTGTCACTGCGCTCAGTACCCAAAAAGCTTGGAGGGAGATCCTGGTTAAGATTGTAGACTCACTAGCTGTCTTGCCTCTACGTTTCGGCGCCTACCGTGAAACGAGCAGCGGTGAGCTGCTGCTATTGGTGCATCAGAACGAAATAAATTGCTTCCACAAAGACTCTGAAATACTGACAAATCTGGAACCTCGGACGCACCCAAAGCACAACAATGAACAATAAATCCAACCTTGATCCCACGCACAATCTTACCGATCTCAAACCAGATAGTCCCAGAATATGGAACCTGCGCTGCCTTGATCACACGCTGGATGCTGCCATCTTCCATGCTCGGCAAGTTGTAGGCAAAGCTTGGCCTTTGCTGGGATGGGAGGCAAGACAACAGAGGACAACAGGCAAAGCTACTGTAAGATAACTTGATAATGATAGCTGCTCATCGGTAAGTTCTAAGCTGACCCCTGAACGAGTTCAAAGCTATCGGGGATCTAACACGAACCCTAAGTCTTGAGGCCGAGGTATAAAGGAGCCCGGAGCCCGTCATTCGCAACATTCACCACCGAAGAAAGGCCACGGGACTTATCGTTGCAGGCTCCGCCGACAACTCGCGGTCGTGGAAGGCCACCTTAGGGCGAAAGGGAGTGCCACAGCCGTTGAAAACATCCCCTGCCAGACTTCACAGCTTGAGGAAACCCTAAACCCTAAACCCTAAACCCTTCCAGACTTCACAGCCTGAGGCGAGGCTAGGGACATAGGCGAACACTTGTCTCAGTGATGAAGTTGTAGGTCACTGTAGACTGAAGATGTGAAGCATGTCTGGCACGTCTGGGGCGATCTAACCATCTAAAGACTCACGACACACAAAGATCCGGCCATCTACTGTTCATGCCGGGTAATCAGTCTCATACAAAGCCTTGGACCTAAACGCCAAGACCTTAAACCCTAAATCTCTTGGAAGCTGTGCTGCTGCTGGCCGCCCAGTCTTGGATTTTCCGGTCGCTGAGCTCCACGTAGCCTTGGAATTTCCGGTGCTGCAGCTGCAAGCTCCTAAACCCTAAACCCTAAACCCTAGAATCCTAAAGCCCTAAAGCCCTAAAGCCCTAAACCCTAGAACCCTAGAATCCTAAAGCCCTAAAGCCCTAAAACCCTAAACCCTAGAACCCTAGAACCCTAAAACCCTAAAACCCTAAAACCCTAAACCCTAAACCCTAAATTGGAAAGGATCTGAATCCTTGGGCTTCCCTTTCCGGACGTCTTTCGGAACATGAAACCGTCTCAAACCCCTAAGAAGCACACGCCGCAACCTCACATCTCTATCCGTTCTAAGCTCGTGAAGGAGGTTTCTGAAAGCTTCGCAGACCCATGTTCCGCTTTGCGGATGATGTTTAGGACTCCGGCTCCGCACCCGCTTTTCGAGGACTAGCAAAGAAACAAACCTTGAGATCAAAGAGCGCTAGGCTCATGAATCCTAAAACCTAAACCCTAAACCCCTAAACTCGAAACCCCAAAAATCAAAAGCCGTCAACGCCGCGGCTTGCTTTGCCAAGCAACTCGGGTGCTTTGTCAAGTAATCATCGAGCCACTCGAAGGTGCCCTCATCCGGAACGCCCACCTCGAAGAAGACTGTAAGGGTCTTGCCATAATGTAGGGGCCTTACTAATAGAATCGGGTTTCGGGCTCCTCTATACTAAAGTAATAAGTCTCCATTGTAGTGCCTTTTCTTGGTTTACCAATCTTACAGCGGTTTTGATCCTCGAATATGAACTATGCGTGAACCAAGAATGGGAACTACAATGGAGACTACAGGTGTGTGTTTATGGCATTAGGTTTCAGGGTTTCGAGTTTTTTGGCTTAAGGGCTTCGGGGTTCAGAGCTTATAGGGCTCTATACTTTAGGATTCGGGAGTAAAGGTTTAAAGATTTACGGTGACATGGAGCTTCGGGCTGTGGCTTAGGGTTTATGAATTTGAGGTTTAGGGTTTATAGGGGTTTAGGGCTGATTCGCAATGTGTTTTTTTGGTGTAGGGTCTTAGGCTGTAAAGTTTTAGGGTTCAGGACTTTGGAGCTTTAGGTCTTCAGCTTAGTCTTCTGCGAGGCAAGCTGAGGCCTCGGGACTTCTAGCGGCGCTCGGGGCCGCGATTCTGGCTTTACTAATCTCGCTTATGGTGGGGGGTTTCCGAAAATAGGGGACCCTAATATAGTACACTATAAAAGTAGGATCCTTAGTATAAGGAGCCCAAATATAGTACCCTACATAGTAGGATCCTTGCTA